AGAGAGAGAGAGAGAGAGAGAGATGCAATGCAACCAGAACAGAAAGGGCAGATGATCTAACATATTAACCAAGCTTACCAACAATCAACCATTTTTACTACTACAACAAGCCAAATTATGTGAATGGATAGTTACCTGCTCAAGTGGTCCTGAATTGGCTTTCTTATTTGGGGTGATTACATGTAAGCCTCGACGCAACCAATCATGGTAATGGCTGGCAACATACGAGTCAGCTGTACAATCTACCAGGACAGTATTTGGGATGGAATGATTCCCATGCACACGTTGAACAAATTTATGCATATCAGCCTTTTCTCCTTTGTCCCTCAGAAGATCTCTCCATATCGATAAATCAATACCCCTAAAATCATCAACGCCAACATTTTAGGGCCAAACAACCTAACTGATTGGACATATATACAAGCTCTAGAACAAAATGCAAAACCATAAGAAACACTGTTTGGCATTTATGTAGAGATAAATCAATACCCCTAAAATCATCAACGCCAACATTTTAGGGCAAAACATATCAGAGATTTGATGCATATCTAACTGATTGGACATTTATATCAGCTCTAGAACAAAATGCAAAAACATAAGAAACACCGTTTGGCTTTTATGTAGAAAGACAGAAGTAGCTCAAATGATGGGAAACCACAAGAGAATGACATCTACAATATAATAGACGTTGAAGGGAGCAGGGGCATAAAGTTCAGATTTGAATTGAACTACAATTTATTATACTCTCTGAGAGAGAAACGTGCCTGATAGATGCATTAGAAGATGCAGTCTAGGGGAACTTATTGGATAAGGGAGTCAAGCCTTAATTTGACAGTCCTCATTTGAAAGTCATACTTAAACATATAATATTCCAAATAATGCTATCAGTTTCACAAATAGACAACATAAATTTCTGTCTGTAAACTGTTATCAAAATAAATTTGTTAAGGTCAACCTTAAGCTGAAAAGATATATCTCTTCTAATAAATCAATCTTTTATATATAACATGACAGTGGGTTGTCTAGTTCTTTTATAAGTACTTGAAATAGATGGAAGCCATTTACTTCTTTCATCAGGAGCCATGTTTATGTAAATACTGGTAATAAAACATAGAAAATCAAATAAAACAATCTTCCTTGAAATCTTGAAACTTACGCATCACTCAAGAGCATTGTCCTTGATCCAGTGATACCCATCACACGCAGATCAATGTTAAACTTTCCCTTGAGGACTGCTGCCTGCATAGGATTGACAAGACAGGTTGAACAGCATATGTGAATAGAGTGTACACGGGAGCTTTTAAATTCATAAATTCGAAAAATAAAAACTCACGATAAAAAAACTGCAGAGAGAGATGACTTAAACCCATCAAAAATAATTGAACAAACTAGGTACAGCCATCCATTACTCTTGGCAATACAGATTAAAGATTGAAATTAACAAGAATGAATAAAAGAACACAAATTAATAATGTGAAAATTCCAGTAGGGATGATACTGCAGAAAGCAATTCCTATCATATACTTCTCTTGTTTTCATGTGATTCAGATAACTGAAATTTACCTGTCCTTTTATCAAAGCTATGACTCCCAAACTTGAAAAAGCTAACATGCCAATGTTCTCTACATGGATTTTGTATATGGATGGTTCAATGTCCCAACAGGATAGAAAATATTTTGTTGCCATAATTAGGTAAATGGTGTGATAGGTGTCTCAAATTGGACTTCACATAGTTATTTATTGATATAGAATGTAAATAAATATAGGATTATATGTGTAATTATAGGGAATCCCTAATTAGTAAACTTACTAATAAAGAATTCCTAATTTTGTATATATTGATGTATCTTTTCTTATGAAAGAAATCAACGAAACTATTTTCTTCTTTGTATCATGGTATCAGAGCCAATAACATTAATTAATGGGGGTGTGTCCTCAATCTAAAGTTTGATGGATTTAAAAACTTCAAATTTTATATGGGCCCAGATTAGGGTTAGTATAAATAATATGTTGTAACCCTATTTTTCACAACTGAATAAAGAAATCTCCGCTT